TGTGACAGAAATCACGATAACTTGCCATGCGTACGTACTTTTTGAATCACTAGATTCTTAAAGAGTACTGTTGCTTTACAGTATAAGTACATGTCACAGCAAAACTACTGAGAAGTGTTTAACCCAGCACTCGCTCACTCAGAAAATTGGGGCAAAGCTCAAGGAAACTGGGGCCATCTGCTTAAGGTAAGACTTCACCCCCAAACCCTTCAGCACAAACGAGGGCCCCTCGGAGCCCAGGGTAGGCTGGTGTCTGAATCACTCCCTCCGCCGATGCAAGGGGCCGGTCACTGCTCTGGTGCTCATACCCAAGCAGAGACCAGGGCTGCTTCCAGCCACTCAGCCTGGAATGGAAATGTACGTCCTGGCTGCAGCTCCTGGTTTACAAGGCCCAGCCGATGTCTCGTGGGGGCCTGTGGCCCTTCAGAGCATTGCTGGACAGGAGCTTGCCTGTGGGGCTACGTACGAATGCAGGCCCTGGCCCAGACCCCCCCCCATACTCGCCATCAGGGTAGATGAGCGAGGGAGGGCATGTGGTTGACTCCAGCCTTGCACAGAATCCGAAGGAAGGCAACACACCTGTGCGCTCTGGGCTGTGCAGCAACCATGCCACCTCCCCATCTGGGTGCCGCGAAGGTGTGTGAAACTGTCGCAAGTCCTGGGGGGCGGGCACCACGACCCAGCTCCCTCCAACCTTAGCGTTCTGCGCAGGGCAGAAGGGCGGTCAGTTAGTGACTGGCAGCAAGGACAGTGGCTGTCCGGCCCCTCAGGGGGAACAAAGGCTGGAACAAGCACCATGGCATCAAATAAACAGTCAGGAGGGGCACTTTGGTACGAGAACAAGGGCACACCATTAACTCATCACCAAGAAACAGCGGGCCATTGCACACACAAGGCAGAAACAGCTGCAATAAGTCAAATATCTGCTGAAAAATGTGTAAGTACGTTCTTAATGCAACTCAGCAATGACAAATACCCCCTTGGAGTTAAGCTATGGCCTAGGCAGGGGTGCCCAACCTTTCGGCACCTCTGGGCCACACTGGAAGAAGAGCTGTCTTGGGCCACACATTACATACACTGCAACATGTAATCACAAAAAGAGAAAATCTCATAACGTTTTAAGTAATTTACAATTTTGTGTTGGGCCACAGGCTGGACAGCCCTGGGCCCTACAGCTTTCTGACCTTCCTTGTTGAAGTTTATTCTGCTTCCTGGGTGAGGGGGACCAGGGAAGAGGAGGCTTCAGCAAGCTTTGAGATCCTGTCATAAAAGGTCTGGAATTAAAGACCTGAGAAGGATACGCGGAAACAAGATGTACAGACCGAAAGGAGCCAGTGATGCTGACAAAAAGGATGCTGGGAATATCTGTGTAAAACATGTCGCCCCTCTGCGGACTGGCCCCGGAGACTAGACATCGGCTAGGAGAGGACTGGAATTCGATCACACGGCCACAGGAAAGACGCCCCCACCCCTTTCAGATGTTCACGTGTAGAAACCGGTGCACTGCCTGTTCCATGCGGAAAGGGCAACGTGCACAGGTGTTGCACTCGGTCTCTCGGTGCCTTCCTCCGGCTCCACAGCCTGCCTGCGTCTTTGCCCTTGATATGAAACGGCAACACCGTGGCCGCCTGCCGGCTAATGAGAGAAGTAAGGCCTGGAAGGAGCTTACTGCTCACTTACTCAGAGCCCAGAGGCTATCCCAGCACCAGCCAAGGGTCACCTTGATTGGGCCTCACACCTGACCTAGCCCCCTGGGGAAACACCTGTCATTTATGCAGGGAACACCTGCATGTGTGTGTCTGTCTGTCTGTATGGGGGTGGGCCGCACAGAACAGCAAGCTGAAAACCATCCTAACTGCACAGCAGACAGGGGTCCCCAGTCTTAGTGAAGGCTTAACAATTTCAGATGTGCAAATGCAACAAAACTTACAAAAACACACCATGTGACATCAGCCCCTCCAACTGAAGATAGCAAGCATTGCCTAAAACAAAAAATTAAAGTTATTAAAATTTTGTAAGACTAAACATGAAAGAAATTTAAACAATTAAACCTTCAAATGATGTGTTTGGAAACGTGTAACATCTCCTCTTTGGACAAGGGGAGAGCTGGAAGCCTGCAGCATGCAGACTTAGGACACCGTCTGCTGGGCTCGGGTGTTATTTGGTGTTTGGCCCCAAGTGTAAAAAGACGGTGTTCTTTAGGGGCTGAACGTAAGTAAGAGTTCCCATTTCCTTCCCTGGCTCCTCACTCTCACTGCCCATGGCTGGGTCCCCATCAGCCACAGAGATTCCGTGTGTCCTTTCTCCTAGAGATGCAGGCATGTGAGAGCAGAGAATGATGAGCAGAAAGCAGTGTTTCTGGACCGGCAGAGAGCACACGAGTGCACACTGGGATCCAGGTACACCCAGGTGCCCTCCCCTAAAGTCAGCCAGGTCCTCTGTGTGAGCTTCTGGCTGTCTGTTCGTCTGTCTGTTCAATTCACTGAGTTCTTGCCACATGCCCTAACCTGAGAAAAGGGTGAAGAATGACAGAACGTGACCACTAGCTGTCCACAAAGCCATTTCACACTTAGGACCACAGCAGCACTGACATCCCCAAAGAGGTCCGATCACACGGGCACCCAGACTCGGCGCGGGTGAGCCATCTGCCTGGAGGCACACTCCGTGGCAGGGGCAGCCTGACAGCCAGGCGACACGCCGCAGCTCCCATCCTGCCTCTCATCTTGACTTGTCGTGTCCTTGGCCACTACTTGGCGTCTAGGATCTTGAGACCCTCACCCAGAAAAATTCAAAGGCTGTACAAGTGAGCTTCCATTTGAAAACATGAGAACCCATGTCTTAATTCTCAGGCCAGCCCACACTGTGCCAAACCACCCGTGTCCTAATGGAGCGTGTCAGGTACTGGAAAGTGATGCTCAGTTGAGGGGCAGAGACAGAATCAGTGAGAGGATGGGAACTGTGAGGAATTTATCAAGATGGTAGTCATGTTCTGTTGAACTGGGCTTGGATGCAGGGCCAGAGGATCTGAGCTGGAGCCCATATCTGCCAACTGCAAACTAAATGACCTCAAGGTATCCTAACTTGAACCCATTTACATATCAAATGGGTCTTAGAGCATTGTGCCAAAAGTTAAGTAAGATACACAATATGGAAGATTCATCCTTACCCAATGGTAGAATTTCCTGTGCCCTATGAATTTGCACATCAATGTTATGACACCCGGTGCCCACCTAAGCCCATGCTTCTTTAAACAGGACCTGCAATCCACTCATCTATCCTCCAAAAATGCACCCTGGGCTCCTCTGGCTCCCTACCATGGTGCTACTGTACCACCATGACCCTGATAACATGACCTCAGGTTTAGTTCCAGGATTGGGATTTGGGGTGGGTTGTTTTTGTTTTTTTTTACCTTCCTCCCTGTGTTTTTGTATGTTTTTTTTTACAAAAATTACATTCCCAATTCTTAAAACATTCTCAAACACGAATACACACAGACCTAAACCCCATCATCACCACCACCTCCAAGAGTCCATCTGACAGGCCAGACTGGCAATGTCAGCACGGTCCCCAGTGAGCACTCTGACCTGAATGTAGTCACTGTCCCACTGAACTTCAAGTTCTCCCCTGTGAAACACGGGGTCAGGCCAACCAAACCAGCCCTTTCTTTCAGGGGTACAGGTCCAAGAGACCATAGGTATTGTGCAGGGAAGGACACACAAGTCGGGATGGTCCACCATCCCTCCTAAACCCGGGAGGCTTTGATGTGCACTACACAGGACCACTCCCTTGCACTCTGCAACGCCTCCAAGAAGACAGTACATCTATCTCCACTTAACAGATGAGCAAACTGAGGCTGGGAGAAGTCAACCTAACCTCCCATGTCACCCCCTATGTCTTAAACAGCTTCCCTTCTCTGGTTTAACAACCCTCTGTGGAACCCTCTGTGGGTTCACAGAACCCACCTGCCAGGCTCTATGCTAGATGCAGGGACGGGGGTGCTGTGTGAACCAGTCCCAAGTGGGGTCTCTCTGCAGGAAAGTCAGCCTTGCAAATACAGCCCACCTCCTTGCCCTACCTGTCTCCTCGGAGGTGGGAGCTGCAGAACATCCTGACTTTTATTGAGCACCCTACTATGTGCCAAACCCTGTCATTGGTAGTTAACACGTTTGTGCTCCTGTAAACCTCACTACAGCCCTGAGTTAGGTTCTGCATCATTCCCTTTGGAGAGTCAAGGGAACTGAGGCACAAAGACATTAAGATGGTCACACGTCCAGTTGGTGGCCAACCTGGACTCACATGTGGCCCTGCATCCGTGCTCTCAACCCCATGCCCTGAAGTCTCCTCCGCAAGGACCGAGCTCCCCAATTCCCAGAGAAGAGCCCTGTCCCCAGCTGTGCAGCCCGGCGGTGACCCACTGTCCTGCTTCGCCCAGGACAGGGAGGGTTTCCTGCACAAGAACTTTTCCACTTTAAAACCTAGAAGAACTGGTCATTCTAAGTCCAGAACTCCTTTCACCTCTGCAGAACACAAACAGATCTGAATGGATTTCCTCCTTCCATATGCGTGAAGCAGAGGGACCGGCTTGGTGGATGGAAATGCAGGCATTAGCCCCGCCGCCCTCCCCTCCTCACGCTCTAGCGCAGCCTCCCAGGTCGGACCTCTGAGCCACCGCTCCTCACCTCTCAGCCCGCGTCCGCCAACGGCTGAAACCGGCCGCGGGGAGCACGTGGAGTCGCCCCGACAGCCCGCCCAGCGTAACCACCACCTCCCTGAACAGCTTCGCGGCGTGAAATTCGTTTTTGGAGCCGCCCGCGCGCATGCGCACCGCGACCACAAGGCGCGCCTGCGGAAGTGACGGTGCGGAAGCGGGAGGGCGGGCCCGGCCGGCCGAGGGGGCGTTGTCCGGGTGGTGCCGCAGCCCGCAGAGCTCCGCTGCTGTGCTGAGGGTCCTGGTGACGGACGGCGGGTCCGAGAGCGGCGTCCGGGGGTAAGGTGCCCGCCAGGCCGGCAGGCCGGTTTCCCCAGGGTGTGCGGGTCCCGCACCGCGGGAGCGCCCCGAGTGGGGCCGGCGCCTGAGGGCCGGACGGGGCTTGGACCCGCCGCCGCTCCCGCCTCCCGGGGCACCCCGAGTGTGGTGGCGGAGAGCTGCCGGGTCTTGCGAAGTTAACCAGCGGCGGCACCGAGCTCCGGGTTGGGGACGCAGAGACCCGATCCGGCTCCGGCAGCGGGGCCTTCGCCCTCGTATAGCCCCCTCGGCCTGGAAACCCCACCCGGGCTCCGGCTCGGGCCCTGCCGCCCTGCGCTTCCGGCTCTCGGCTCCCGAGTGCCTGGTCTCCTCGTCGCTGAGCGCGGAGCCCAGCTCAGCCCTTCACCCTGTGAGCCCCGGGGCCCGTCCCTCATGTGGGTGAGGACCGTAGCGGCCCCTGTCTCGGTGGGTGTTCGGAGGGGCAGACGGAAGTCAGGAGCCCGGCCCCGGGCCTGCTGCCGAGTCTGGCCCACAGCGGCAGGCACCCGGCGTTCGGGGAGCCGGCCCCCGAGGTGGCGTGTGTGGGCTTTGCTCCGGGGGCGGGGGCGGGGGGGAGCGGCCCGCACCACGGCCTTTATTTGCTCCCGGTTCTGGAAGGAAGAAGTCCGAGACCGAGGGGTCGGCGGTGTGGACTCCTCCTGGGCGGCCCTTCCCGGCGCGTGGGCGCCGCCTTCCCGCTGCGTCTTCACCGGGTCTTTCCTCTGTGCAGGAGCGTCCCCGCGGTCTCAGCGTCCGGTTTCCTCTTCTCAGAAGGGCAGCAGTCCGATTGGATTCGGGTTTTAGCTTCACTGGGGTGGGTTTTAACTTAATCGCCCCTTTAAAGGCCCCATCTTCAAACATAGCCTCATTCTGAGGTCCTGGGGAGTCAGCACAGGAATTTGGGGTGGGGGACACGTGTCAGACCAGGACAGACGGAGTTCACTGGAGTGGACCAGGAGGGGAACCGTCTCCTAGAGAAGGGGCAAGGGGCCAAGAGGTTTCGAAGCAGGGCGCGGGTGGGCGCCTCCTCCTTGTCTGCGCTTGCTGTAGCGTTTCCGTTCGCTTCCCTTGGTGACTGGGGTGAGCGCTCATCCCTCTCTCTGGCACGCCGGTGTCTGCGTGATGCCTCAACCTCGGGGAAGCCTCCCCAGCCCTCCTGCCCCACATTAATTTTGCATTTTCTCCAAGTGTATCTACACTTGCCTCTCCCACTGGACTGACACTTCCTGAAGGCGTGGACGACCGTGCCTCGGTGCCTGGCACAGAGTGGACACTGTGAAGTTAAGTGAACATTGTGACATATACTGAGACACCGAGACATATAGCCTGTGGAGGTCCAGGAGTGTACCCTGCAAGTGTACCTCACACTGCTCTCTGGCACATAGTAGGCCCAGAACACTGGCTTAACTGAATTGGCCTGTGTAGCATCGTGGAGTCATGTGGAGCTAGGGCAGGACTACAGGCTGATTTGCTTGGACCCGGGGCACTTGTCACTGGAGTTGGGGTGGAGGGTGGGAATGTGCCACCTGAAAAGCAGGGTGGCCAAAGAGGAAGACAGGTCCCTGCGAGGCAAGCCAGGGATGGGGGATGTGGGCTGTGGACCCTGGGGGAGTTCTCTGTTGATGGCCCCACTGAACAACCCTCCCCAAGTCCGTCTCTCTGGCGTTTGACCGGTGGGTAGGTCATCCTACCAAACAGAAGGGCCTCGGCCCCGGGAGCCATCTCTGGGGCATAAAGTTCCATTCCGGCTCTTGTTCCCTTCAGCAGCCCCCTTCACATACATCTGCCTAAGCTTTCTTTTGTGTTTTTCTTGTTCTCTTTTCTCATATTTCCCTTTTCTTACATTGATTGATTGATTGTGCCATTCATCTTCCCCCATCACGTTCTCAGTATAGATTTTTAGCATTTAGAGCAGGAAGAAACTTTAGAGATTAGCCCAGTGGGGGACCCCTTCATTTTTACAGATGAAAAAACTGAAGCCTGCATATCAATCCAGAAACTAAGAATCGAGCGCCTCCTGTGTCCAGGGCCTTGTCTAGGTACGAGAGGTACACTGAGCAGTGAGACAGATGTCCGTGATTTCACCAAAGAAGAGTGTGCTCCTTGTCACCGAGTGACTTCACTGCAAACATGGGGGGAGAGGGAGCGCCGAGCTTCTGTGTCACAGCAGGGCGCCTGGTGTTCCTTGCACTGGTCCTCAAGCCCTGCTTGTCTGTGGGCCACCTGCACACTCAGGCCTAGCAGTAGACTGCAGAGGCAGCCGATTGATCCAGGGAAGGCCTTCGATCTGTCACATACATCCTGGAGTGGGAGTTAACCTGTGGGCTGTCGAGTCAGATTTCCTGGGTTTAAATTACAACTTTACTCCATATTGATTACCTGTTACTTATTGACCCTGTGACCATCCTCTCTGTACCTGGTCAGGTTATCTATCGCTGGGCAGCAATTTACCCTAAACTTAGTGATTTAAAACTATTTCATTTTATCTCACGTTTGTATGGGTCCAAAATTCAGGCAGGGCTGTGCTGGGCAGTTCTTCAGCTCCCTGCGATGTCAGCTAAGACTGGTGTCAGCTTGTGGTGGGGCCGGTCTGGGGGTTTACCGTGGCTTTGCTGCCGTAGCTGGTGCCTGGGAAGGATGGCCGATCGGCTGGCCTAGCAGAGCCCTTCTCCCACTTCGTCTGTTCTCTCCATGGGCATCTTACAGCCGCACCACCGCCCAGGCCGCGAAATGGGCCGGGGTCTGCGGGTCTCACTCTCACCTGTTCTGTTGACTGTGGCAGAGGCTGCGCAGATTCGAGGGGAGGGGGCAGACCCTCTTCCCCTTGGGGGGAGCATCAGAGAAGTTGTGGCCCTCTGTGGTCTGCCAGGTGCCTCACTGTCATCTCATTGTCCTCATCTAGGACCTGAGGGTAATGTAGTAGCTGTCTTACCATTGTTCTGATAATTAAGTGAGTTAATGTGTAAAAGGCTTAGAATAGTGTCTGGTAGCATATGGGAAACATTTGATGCATATTTGTTATTTTTACTTATATTAGTTATATACCTTATTACTTCCACTTGTTATGCATAGGACACATAAGAAACATAAATTACCGATGCTTTTTCTAGAGTTTTTTTCCTATAAGGGACTTACAGGATTAACATCATGAAGCAATGAGAGGATTACACTAAAAAATACAGATTAGTCATACTTTTTATTGTCAAAGTAAATTTTGGGATGATTTGTAATTTTGCATGTCATCATAATTCTAAGAGTCATCCCAAACAATTTTCCCTTTATCGCTCTTGTATAGCTAGAAAATGTTTCATGCAGATACAGAATATTTGCTGCATTTTGCCCCTAAGTCTGTGGAGGAAGGTTTTGTTTGCGTTTTCCGACATTCTTTTTCTCATGGGTGATAGCAGAATCTAACACATAGACTACAGGGTTTAGGAGCCAGGACTTATTTAAATCCTGGCTTTCTTTAAAAGATGTTATTTATTTACTTTTAGAGAAAGGGAAAAGGTAGGAAAGAGAGAGAGAGAGAAAAAAACATTGATGTGTGAAAGACACTTTGACTGGTTGTCCCCGCATACCTTTACTGGGGACCTGGCCCGCCACCCAGGCATCAGACTGGTGACCCTCCAGCTCACAGGTTGGCCCTCAATCCACTAAGTCACACCAGGCAGGAAACTCCCCAATTCTTAATTTCCTTGCAAAGTGGTAATATTGAGATTCTTACAGCATTATAGCATAGGTAATATGCTTAGCACAGTGCCCAGCCTATACTATGTAGTTGGTAAATGATAACCAGTAATAATAAACCAAAAACCCTTTCCTTTCCAGGTAGCCAGTGAAGTGGTGTAGGTAATCATACTCCGTCATCTGGCTGTGTGGGGCCTCTGAGGATTCAGCACTGCGGACAACCCCCCCCCCCCTTTCGGGTGATTCCGTGAACTCCCAGTGCTGCGGCATCTCTCTATGGACGACACCACCGCTGAATCCCACCCTGACCTCGAACCAGGAGGTCATGCCATCACCCAGACCCCACACCCCAGAAACTAAGCTTCCCATAGAGAAATGGGGGGATCAGAAAAGGTATGGAGCTGAGGGTGAGGTGATGGGGGGACACGTTTTGGAGATTCTGAGTTGAGGGGTCATACAGTTAGAGATGCTTAGCAGAAAGTTAGACATTCGGAACTGGTTTTCGAAGCTAAGGGTTCAAATTTAGGACTTGTCTGCTTAGAACAGATGAAAGCCAAGAATAGATGTGGTTGTCAAGGAAGGGAAAGAGCGGGTGTGGAGTGTTCAGGGACGTTAACCTTTGGGGGTCTTGCGGAGGAAGAAGCAAAGCAGGTCAGATCAAGGCGCAGTAAGGGGAGCAGACGTGTCCTGGGGATGGAGGACTTGCGGAGGGAGGGAGGCAGACCACACTCGCACCTGTTGGGGGAGGCTGAGGTGGATGCAGCAGAGGACAGAACGTTGTGGGCAAGTCTGTTTGGGCACAGTGAGAATGGCGGCAAGACTGCAAGGTCAAGAGGGAGCCCCAAGTGAAGCAGGATGTGTAGATTGCTCTTTGGAAAGTGATGAGAGGCGCCCTGACCCATGTGGCTCACTCGTACCACAAACCGAAGGGTTATCAGTTCAATTCCCAGTCAGAGCACATGCCTGGGTTGCAGGTTTGGTCCCTGGTTGCATGTACAAAAGGCAACCAATCCAGGTTTCTCTCGATGTTTCTCTCACATCCATGTTACTTTGCATCTCTCTCTCACCCTCTCTTCCCCACTCTTGAAAAGACATTGTGTGAGAGGCTGTGGTGAATAATTGTACCTAGTGGGTGTGTTTTGTTGTCCTGTTTTGTTTTGTTTCAACATGGGGTGGTCTCTGTATGTTTGTAAAATCTGGTGAACCAGTGGAAGGCAGAGTGAAGCAATGAAGAGTGGGGGAGGGGACAAAGCAAAGTCCTGGAGGGGGCAAGGGGAGAGGGGAGTTTGCTGGGGAAAGGCGGAGGCACAGAAGCTGGGGGGATGGAGGGAGAGGAGTGGGAAATTCGAAACCAAAGAAGTGAAAGGCACTCAGGTTGTGTCAGGTTATCTGTCCATCAGCTCCGCCTCCTGGTGAAGTCAGGTGGGTCATTTCTGTGAGTGAGGGAGACAGACGTGGTGAGAATGAAGAGTGCAGCGGATTCAGGAGCACCCTTCTGGGGAGTGTAGAGGGAGTCGAAAGACGTGGATAAAACCGCTGCCCACCACTCGCTGCCAACAGTGGTTAGCTGGCAGGAGGTTCTGCGGCTGAGCATGTGCTAGGGGCCAGGCAAGATGAGTAAGATAGTGCCTGCAGAGCTCACAGCAGAGTTGGGGTGACGGGTGACAGAACATAGTGACAATCTTATGGCAGTACGTATGGGGTGCTGTGAGATCCTAGAGGGGTGCCCCAGAGTCAGGCTGGAGGAGGAACAGTAGGGAAGGGGGCACATGTTACGAGTGGCAGGAAAGGCTTCCAGGAGTCAGTGACAGCTCAGCTGGCCCGGGTGGGGAAGGCAGGAGAGTCAGAAGTGAATAAGGTTCCCCCAGGACAGGAATTACCAGAACCGGAGGCTTTCTGGGGGGAGAGCAAGGCAAGGGTCCCCAATCCACCTGCTTCAGGGTCCCCAGATGCTTACAGTGCAAACGCCTGGGCCGCATGCTAGATCAATGGAACAAAACTCTGGGGCGGTGTCCAGGAGTCTGCATCTTGAACGGGCTCCCCCGGCATTCCTTACCAACAGCGTTTGCTGAGTACTTACATCTGCCCGTTGCTATTCTCAGTGTTCTTCTGGGTTCTCACGTTTAGCTCAGTAACTTGTGAGAGAGGACGAGGAGAGCAGGGCATGGAGAAGTCATTTGCCCAGAGTCACGTAGCAGAGGAGAGTGGGCCAGGGTGCGGCCCTGGCTGAGAACTCCGCCTGTTTTGGCTGGCACATCTTGGAGTCATGGGGGGTAAAGCAATAATAATGATAAATAATAATAATAACAGAAGAAGGGGCCCTGTTGAAAAGCTCAGATTTTGGCCTCTTGGTTTAGCGACATTTTTCGGTAATGCTTTTGCACTGGGAATGGAAACAAACAAAGTGGATAGTGACCTCTTAGGTTTTTGGTGCAGCAGCCTGCCATATTAACCTCCATAGTCTGACCCCGGTCTGACTCCGTTTCTCCCCACTGTAGGCACACCTCAGGGACACTGTGGGCTCGGTTCCAGGCCACTGCAATAAAGCGAGTGGTAGTCTTTTTGCTGGTGGAGGAGGGTCTGGCCTCCTCCAGTTTGTGAGAAATGCAACACCCGCGGTGCACGGTATAGTGAAGCAGGATAAAAGGAAGTGTGCCCATATTGCCCGTCCATACATCGTCTCCTACTACACGGAGCTCCTGCACAGCAGAGCCCGTGTTTTCACTCACCTGTGTGTCCAGGTGTCCAGCTCAGACCATCTTGTTTAGCTGGGTGTCATTCGCTTGTGGGCACACCCCCTGCCCCACAAGTGAAGCTTCACAAGGGCGGGGACCCAGTGTGTTCTGTGCGTTCTCGTCACCCTAGGACTTGGCACACGGCAGTCAGGGAATAGATGGTGGGCGATGAGCTTTTGTATCCACGTAATGACTTCCCATCTCACTCAGGGTCAAAGTCATGGTTTTTGGAAGGGCCCGCAAGGTTCTGCATGACCCTCTTCTCTCCCTCACCCGTCTCTCCCTCCAAGCCCCAGACTTCCCTCAACTTCTAACTCAGCGTCCTTATACAAGTGCTCAGTAAATGCTGATTCGGTCTTTTCCAGTTGGCTTTTTTCTAACCCCATAAGTGTTTATATATAGGACTGTTTAAGCATAAATTTAATTAAATTAAAAGTTCAGTTCCTGGATTGTACAAGCCATATTTCAAGTGCTCAGTGTGGATAACAGTGCAGATATGGACATGTTTATCATTGCAGGTAGTTCTATTGAACAGCACTGATCGAGATGCTTCAGAAGCTGCTTTTGTTTGCTTGCTTGTTTGTCTTTAAACGGCGTCGCGGCAGGGAACCATGGATCCACAGATCGGTCTGCCGGTCTGGGCGCCCTTTCATTCCACGTTGCCGTAAAATCCACTGTTTCGTCTGTGCTCTGCCTTGCAGGTCTCCTGTGCCCCGAGCATGGACCCCGTTGCTGCCCACGGCTGCCACCTGCTGCAGCAGCTGCACGAGCAGCGCATCCAGGGCCTGCTCTGCGACTGCACGCTGGTGGTGAGGGGCGTCTGCTTCAAAGCGCACAAGAACGTCCTGGCGGCCTTCAGCCAGTGCTTCAGGTGCGGCGCCCGGGCGGGGCGCTTCGGGTGGGAGCGTTTGCACCCAGCTTTATTTGCTCCTTGGATTTCACTCCCCTTTTGTGGTGCATTGTGGGGTTTTCTTAATTGAATTATGGGGTGACATCGACTGATAAAATTATACGGTTTCAGGTGCACAGCACTATAACACGTCATTTATTGTATTCCGTGCCCAGCATTGTGGGTTGTTGGCTTTTGTGTTTACAGTGACCTCAGAGCAAAAGAGACTTTGAACAAAATATATATATTTGGGGTGCTTGAAATCATTTTAGTCCTTTGATTTTTTAATTGTTCTAATTAACGTCAGTCTTTTATATATACTTTTTATCCTTTTAGGACAAAATTTCTGGTAAAAACTTTTTTTGTGATAAGAAATCAGAGAGGGGAAACAGCCTCTGTGCTGTTGTTTTTTTTATTAAAACATTTTACTTTTTGTTTCTCATTTGACTAAGAAAACAGTTTCCAACTCAGTTTGCTAACCCCTATAATCATTTTTGCCCAGATGAAAGATTTACTTGCGAATGGTAACGTCAAGCAACAATGTTTCATTTTTAACGTTAGAGTTAAGAGTTCTCCATACGTGTCCTGGTTAACTAGATTTAGCTCTCCGTATTTAGCCCTCCGTAAGCACCGAAGCTTGTCTCCGATGCCTTTCCTAATAGAACACGTCCCGCACTGGTAACTGCCCACGGACCGGGTTGTAGTCTTTCCTCGGTAGCCCCGAGTCACCAGGTCCGATCTCAGCCGCTGCGTGTGCTGTGAGGACGTAGCGCACTGCGGTGGGAGGCACGTTTCGTCCTCGCGGGAAGTGGTCTGGGAGCCAGGCTCTGCCTTTCTTCTGCCCTCCCAGGACGGCTGGGTTTAGATGTCGTGATACAGCGACTGTGCGGTGTTTTCCCGGCCCCGCCTCTAACTTGTGCTTCCCTGAAGAAAAAGGAGAGCTGGAGGCTGTCTGGGGAACAGGTGACTGCGCCGTAAAACGTCTCCAACGGTGTTAGTGCAGATTCCTTCTCTGGCGGGTTTGTCTTGCCCCTGGAGTAGAGCGCGTGGCCTTTGTAGAAGTGCGCCCCTTCCCTCCTGAACTCCTCGGGCTTTTCTCACTGCTGGCTCACGGACGACCTCCGACAGCTCAATGAGTGATGAATGGGACGTGGGTACGTGTCACGGTCCTAGAGCAGCCACCTTCACGGACACAGACAGGGCGGTGGCCGCCAGGGCAGAGGGAGGGGGAGTAGGAGTCAGTGACTCAAGGCACTTAGATATGGAAATATTTTTATATGTGTTTTATGGCCTAAAATACCTGATTTGTCAGACTAAACATGAAATAGTTAAAAATGCGTGTCCTTTAGTTTTCTGTACTCTATAGGTAATTAATACATACTAGTAATTACGGTTGAAAAAAAGAGCCATGAGGATATTGCAGAATTTTACTTTGAGGTCTACTTGGAAGTTTGGGTATTCAGCACACTAAATCTATTTATCTGAATTGCATTATTGGATGCCTTGCCAATTTTTTAAAAAGGGTAACACATACTTAATTTTAAAATCCTGGCATTTATAAAAGGACAGTGACTTTGAATACTAACTAATACGAGGATTATTTATAGGCCGTATGATTGTTGTCACCATGAACATGTCTCCTCTGTCACCAGGAGCCTCTTCCAGAATTCCTCAGGCCAGAAGAATGATGTTTTCCACTTGGACATTAAAAGTGTAAGTGGCATCGGGCAGATCCTGGACTTCATGTACACGTCTCATCTGGATCTCAACCAGGACAACGTACAGGTGATGCTGGACATAGCGCAGTGTCTGCAAGTCCAGAACGTTCTGAATCTGTGCCACACGTTTTTGAAGTCGGCCACTATGGAACAGCCCCCTGGCACCCCTGGTGACAGTGCCTTCTCCCCGCAGAGCACTCTGACTTCTGACACTAACTGTGTCGTCAGTGAGAACTACTCCCCTCCCTTACTGCAGGGGTGTGCGGCAGACGCCCAGCACGGCGAGGTCTTGGACGGGCCGCACTCTCGGGGTCCAGCGTCAGTTCACCTTCACCGCCCTGCAGGTGCAGCCTCAAAACAAGCCCCTGAACCTTTGGATAGCAGCTGCACAGAACTGCCATTCAAACAGCCAAGTTACTACTACAAACTCAGAAACTTGTACAGTAAGCAGTACTATAAACAAGCCACTTGTCCCAGTCACGAGAGACTAATAGAGCAGCCTTTCAGTGTCAGCCCGTCCACAGACCTGGCAGCCGTGGAAAACCAGCCTTCTGCAGTGACTCATTCCGAATGCGCGCTGCCGTCCACCGAGCACTTGCCTTCCACCTTCCTGGCCCAGCCTCCGGGTGACCCTGCCCTGGACCCTGAGGCAGACGACACGTTCCAGCAACCCACCAAACAGATGAGGCTCAAAAAGGCCATTCACCTTAAGAAGCTCAATTTCCTGAAGTCACAGAAATCTGCAGAGCAGACTTCTGCACCCGAGTTGGAGGAGGGTATCACAAAGAGGATCGATTCTGCTAGTGAAAGCGCTGTAGAGAAAGCGAGCAGTCCGAGTGCTGAAGACAGAGACAGCGAGGAACTGGTCAGTTCTGAGAATTTTAATTGCGTTAAGGAAACGGAGAGGCCTGAAGAGCTTGTGGCGCCAGAAGACCAGTCCCAGATGCTCCAGTCCCAGAGGCAGTACTCGTGCGAATTGTGTGGAAAACCTTTTAAACACCCGAGCAATCTGGAGCTTCACAAACGGTCTCATACAGGTAACCTGATTCAGTGCCCGCAGGCGGAAGGGAAGGGGAGGGTGCGGACGACCGCACGCGGTGGCCTGCACTTGGTGATGTCATCGACACTTTTGGTGATGCCTCTTAAAGTTCTTTAGATGCTTCTATTGAGCCAGTTTTAAAAGATGTCACATTTTTTATTTTTATTACATTGTTTTTTAAGATTTTATTTATTTATTTTAGAGAAAGAGAAAGGGAACAAAAAAGACAGGAGAAGGGAGGGGGAAAGAGAGGAAGGATAACGTCAGTGTGAGACAAAACATGGATCCGTAGCCTCTCGTGGCTGCCGCTCGCACACGTCCCGACTGGGGACCAAACCCACAACCCCAGGCACGTGCCCTGACCAGGAATGAACCAGTGACCTTCCATTTTGCAGAACAGCTGCCAACCAACTGAGCCGCACCAGTCAGGGCTTAATTATGTTTGGTTTTTTGGTTTTTTTAATTTATCTTTAGAGGGGAAGGGAAGGAGAGAGGGAAAGAAATATCAATGTATAGTTGCCTCTCATGCATCCCCCACTGGGAACTGGCCTGCGACCCAGACATATGCCCTGACTGGGAATCGAGCCGCATCTTTTGGTTCACAGGCCCACACTCAATCCACTGAGCTACACCTGCCAGGGCCTTAAAATTATTTTTTTTAATATTTTATTTATTTTTAGAGAGAGGGGAAGGGAAGGAGAAAGAGCCAGAGAGAAACATCAATGTGTAGTTGCCTCTCATGTGTCCCCTGCTGGGGAACTGGCCTGCAACCCAGGCATGTGCCCTGACTGGGAATTGAACCGGCAACCCTTTGCTTCACAGGCCTGTGCTCAATCCACTGAGCCACACCAGCCAGGGCCTTAATTATGTTTTTATATGATAAACTTTCCATCTCTAAAGAAGTATAGTAAATTATTTTGAAGTGCTAAAACAGATAAGCTATACTTTAGTTGTCTCTTTAGAATTAGATTAAGTTTATTCCTTTATTTTAAGTTCATTCTTTAAAAGCATAATATAGGTCAATTCAGACTAAAATAACTTAGTTTGAGTAATTCTAAAAGTTCTCTATAGAGTAATTTGAATATCAGATTTTTTTAATTGTGATTTGGGATTTAGGAGGTAAACTTTTTAATAAGGATCAGTTTCAACCATTTGATATTTTCAAATGGAAGTTCTTCTTTTTTGAACATTGATTTTTCAAAGTTTTCTTACCTTAATTCATACCTCCTCCCCTTTCTAAAAAGTTTGTTTTTTCTAGAAGCTCTCTAAAGAGTGGACTGAGCACCGGGCTGGGGATGGGAAGGTCTCGAAGTTGGATTCCCAGTCGGCACATGCCTGGGCTACAGGCCAGGTCCCCAGCTGGAGACATTTGAGAGGCAATCGATCGATGTTTCTCTTGCACAAAGATATTTTTTAAGTGTTAAACAGCATATATACATTAACATTGTACAATATGTATAGCTTTTTTTCTACACTCAAACATGATGACTCCAATACACATTACAAATAAATGCCAGTCATCTCACAGGCATGAGAAGTAATAGACTTTCTAGAAGAGCTGCTTTTACAGTGCTCGTGTAACTGCAGTTACCGAGGTGACGCTGTGTCATTGCTCTGATGCCTGGTGGGCCTCGGTGTTTCCTCCGTGCGCGGTTGAGAGGCCCATTCAATATCTGTGAAAGCCTCTGTAGTGTGTTTGCAGGTAAAGTACTACCATTATGATTACTAGGAGTTCAGAAGTATACTCCACATCAAGGCAGTATCAGTGACTCAGTTTTGCTCTGAGAAAAATTTAATTTAGGTCATTCTATTTGCTTAAATTTCTTAGAGCCTAACAATCACTGTAATTGTTGTTTGAGAGACCCATTTAGTTTTGAAGGAAATAAAAATTATTTATTGTGTGAGAACATATTTGAGTGACAATAGTCACAAATCATGGTGAAGGTGCTCACTTGAACCTAAGTCCTTGATTGAGAGGGCAGCAGTTCTTGACCGAGGATCAGGGACACCCTTCCGGGGCTCTGTGAGGCCAGAGCTGTTCCTGTTGTGGTGTAGGGTGTCGCTTGCCTCTTCCTCCTTCTCCTCCCCCACGTGGTCAGGGGAGTCGGCTAACGGCTGTCGTCACTCTGGTGGCCAAGGTGGTGTCTAGTTGTGTGTCTTAGCAGTCACCCGGTTTTCACTTCTCATGTGGACCACGCTGAGAGGTCCAGCCACACAGACCAGAGCTCACAGGGTCTCAGTGTGAAGGGCTGCTAAGAGCGAACAGTGGGACAGCCACTGGAGTGGGGGGTTACTCCTGGTTGCTCGGGGGGCTTAGTGGTCGATCTCTTTTTTTATACTCTCAGATCTCATAAGGGGGGCTTTAATCTATTACCCCCTAATTTCAAGCATAGATGTGGCCCCAAGGTACAGGATTCATGTGATTATAATTATTCAGAGTCAAAAGCTTTCTGCCCGCCCATCCTGGAGGAAGCCATCAAATAGTTTCAGGGGAAAAAATAAAAGTTAGCCAACATATATGTTTGTGGTTTTCCATAAGTTGGCTCTAGTAGCACTTAGTTGTCTTCAACTTTATTTGAAACAATTGTATTAGATTGTATTGTGACAGTTGTCACATCAACGTACATTTTTTTAAAAACATCAAAATTGGTGAATTTTTGTGTAGCCATTTTAATATTGAAGATGGAAGAAAACACAAAATTTTCAGCATATTATACTTTATTATTTTAAGAAAGGTCAAAAAGCCAATGAAACACAAAAAAGATTTTTGCAGTGTCTGGAGAAGGTGTGGTGACTGATCAAACACATCAAAAGTGGTTTGCAAAGTTTCTTGGTACTGTTGACATTTTGGCCAAATAATCCTTTGCTGTGGGGCTGTCTATGCATTGGATGGAAGATGCTGAGCAGCACCCCTGGCCTCTACCCACCAGAGGCCAATAAATAGCGGGAGATAGCTGACATGCTCAAAATATCCAAATCAATAGTTATTGGTGAAAATGAAAAACGTGTCTTTTATTTTATGGAGAAAACATAACGGACTTTTTGGTCAACCCAATAAAAGTATCCTGGCAGGAGCCCAGAAGCCTGCAAGTCCCAGCAATGCAGTAGGAAGACATAGGTTGTTTTTAAAAGAGAATCTTAATGCAGCCACTTGTTTGAGGGGAAGAGGGAATTGGAAGGTTCTTGGTCTTCCAACTTTGTTTATTAGAGTTACCCAGGTTAAAGGTGGTACCTCGAAGTATATTATTAAACTGATCATTTTCTAGAGACTATTCGTAACTGTTGTGATTTCTTTGTAGTAGAGCTCCATTCTCTACCATCCATTCCATACGAAAACGTAGTCATTCAGAGTTCCTGAAGTCCGAGGTGGCTCTGATAATGTCATCCTGCTCCCCCCATTGGTGTGTTCAGCCAAGGCTGAAAGGTAGAGGCGAGGGGCTTTTCCATGTCGCTCTGTCGGGAGGTCCCTCCCTGTTGGGGGCTGTCCGTGTCCACGCCGTGTGTGGTGTGAATGCGACCCTGGCTCTGTGAGGAGTTCATGGGGAAGCGAGGGTGTCAGGCCGGAGGACCTGGGGACAGGTTCGTGCCATTTGGTGAGAGAGCTCACGTTTGGCGTTCAGCTGAAGGGAAAGACCCCAGAACCTAGGCAGGGTTTGGATGCAGTAAGTAAGTTTGACTTCACCATAGGTCAAGTCCAGGTTCACATGTCATTTCTACTTACCACCTGAGGACAAGATGAGCAGGGCAGAGGGCATGGGGGCGCCTGTGTTCACGCTCTGTGTGGTGACGTCTCTGCCGAGAGTGGCTGTTCACGGGGTAGTTTGAACATTTCAAACAAAACTGCTGTGCAAATACTATGACTGATTTCACAAGTTATTGTTCTGTTTTGTTTTAGGTGAGAAACCTTTTGAATGTAACATTTGTGGGAAACATTTCTCTCAGGTGGGAATACTTTTATTTATTGTTAATACTCGGAAACCTGAAACCCAGTGTTGATTTTCGATAAGAATAAGACACACTTTGGAGGTTGTAAGAGAAGCCTCTGAGGAGACCCATAATTTAAAAGACTTCAGACTCTATCAGGAGAAAATGATTTTCAAGTGCCCTGGGGGGATAATGCCATTGTTTACCGGTGCGAGGACTCCCGCTTTTACCCCTGCATCCCACAGCGGGTCCGGTCCTAGTATGTTGTCTCAGGAGTAAAGCAGACCATGTGGAGCTTCTGCCTGGAGGCTGCAAACTGTGCCGGGCTGCGTTAAGACACATGTCCTCCAATTCCTACTGGGGCTGTAGATACTAGGGTGTTGGAAACAGACCAGACAATTTTCATTCTCCGCTTTTGCTACCTTTAGCTGACCTCTCTTCAGACAGCCTGCATTCATTCTCTCGTGCCGCCAATGCTCACATCCTCCGGTGGGCATTGCGCTGATCTGGGTGCTAGACCCAAAGGAACCTAGAGATGGAATGTTTTAGAGGAAATTTTGGATGCAGGCTTGTGGGAACCGCTTTTTCCTCCTGAGACAGGAGGAAACTGCTCTCCCCCCAGGCCGGGCTCGGCGGTCAGCTCCAGGGATGAAGGAGACAGAGGCTGCTCTGTCTGGGGCCCAGCAGCACAGTCCTGCAGGGGCACAGTCACCGCGCAGCTGCTCTGACACACCGCGGGTAAATCCTGCAGCGGCAGCACGTGCAAGGCTGTTCTCCTGGGGAGAGGATGTCGGGCAGGCCTCGATTGGGACCCTGCTGGTCTCGTGAGAATTGGGAGGCGGGCCCTGCTGGGCCACGGCAACAGCCAGAGCAGCGCCGTCTTTGCTGCCTTCCCCACGGAGCCAGACCCGCAATCCTGATGGCTTTCAGTCTGCCTGTGCCCTGCGAGCAGCGGTTCAGCACGTTTTGTGCTCTCCCTTTGGGTTGTTAGTCGAGGCAAGGGCCGTGTCTTACTTACCATCCAGGGCCATGCCGAGCACCCTCTAGGTGTGCAGTGAGTTTGAGGCCTGGACAGAGCGATCGTTCCTCTGGTCGCCGCTCTAGCTGGGGCTTCTTCATATCGGCCTCTCCTGGGGTTCAGAGCTTGGGCCCTGGAGCCCGGCAGTCTGAATCCGAGCCCGGCCAGTGGCTCACTCAGTGACCTTGGGCAGGCTCCCTGACCTCTTGGCATTTCAGCTTCCTTATCTGTAAAACAAGGGCTGTCCCCACTGGCTTGAGTGTGAGGAGCGAATGGATTGATAAGATCAAGTGCTTAGAACCTGGCACATGCTTGGCACTCAGGAAACGTCATTTCCTGTCTCGTTGCCAGCACCTCCTTTCTCTCCTCGTGAGTCCCTCTGCTCTCGCAAACCACACCCCGTTTACTGTCACAGCTTCGGGGCAGTGGGACAGGCGAGACCTGAGAGAGTGACCGCAGTTATTACAGCAGTCACAGCTGCTTTGGCTTCACTTTAATAATTCTTAAAATGAGAATAATACTATGTCAAGGGAATATTATTAGGATTAAATGAAAAAATGGACTGGAAAGCCCTTTATTCATTTAAACTCCGATCATTTAGGTTCTGTCCCCTTCCTGTTTGGACCCCGTCCGCGACTCCTTGTCACCAGCCTGTGAGGTGAAAGCATCCAGGCATCTTGCCATGCGCCTCCAGCCCCCTGTCCTGGGCGCAGGCCCGCCCACCCTCAGACCCCGCCTCTGCTGGGGGCGGGGCAGTTTCAGCGTGAGGTGGAGTCTTTGCAGGCAGCCCTGTCTGGTGGGAACTAGAGAAACCCTTGTCTCTGCTCTTGTCTGTGTTTTTATCAGATTTTTACGGGTATAGAGTTATGTATAGTTACGGTTTTCAGATGCACGTTGTTTTATTTCATAGGGAAATGATAACATTTTTGTGAACAAGGACTTCATTCTGAACGTGTCTGCTGCTAGCCTGCCGTGTCTGGGAGCCCTGCGGGGGACAAAGTTGAGGGAGCCCAGAGGAAGGGACAGATGTGCAAACCGTGCAGTACAGTGAAACCGCAGAAGCTCTGTGATGGGCACAAGGGCAGGGGCAACACGTGGGAGAGGGCGGTCCTCTCCGTGTGAGCGGAGTGCACGTGGGCAGGGGGCAACACGTGGGAGAGGGCGGTCCTCTCCCCGTGAGCGGAGTGCACGTGGGCAGGGGCAGCACGTGGGAGCGGGCGGTCCTCTCCCCGTGAGCGGAGTGCACGTGGGCAGGGGCAACACCTGGGAGCGGGCGGTCCTCTCCCCGTGAGCGGAGTGCACGTGGGCAGGGGCAACACGTGGGAGCGGGCGGTCCTCTCCACGTGAGCGGAGTGCACGTGGGCAGGGGCAACACGTGGGAGCGGGCGGTCCTCTCCCCGTGAGCGGAGTGCACGTGGGCAGGGGCAACACGTGGGAGCGGGCGGTCCTCTCCGCGTGAGCGGAGTGCACGTGGGCAGGGGGCAACACGTGGGAGAGGGCGGTCCTCTCCCCGTGAGCGGAGTGCACGTGGGCAGGGGCAACACCTGGGAGCGGGCGGTCCTCTCCCCGTGAGCGGAGTGCACGTGGGCAGGGGCAACACGTGGGAGCGGGCGGTCCTCTCCCCGTGAGCGGAGTGCACGTGGGCAGGGGCAACACGTGGGAGCGGGCGGTCCTCTCCCCGTGAGCGGAGTGCACGTGGGCAGGGGCAACACGTGGGAGCGGGCGGTCCTCTCCCCGTGAGCGGAGTGCGCGTGGGCAGGGGCAGCACGTGGGAGAGGGCGGTCCTCTCCGCGTGAGCGGAGTGCACGTGGGCAGGGGCAACACGTGGGAGCGGGCGGTCCTCTCCGTGTGAGCGGAGTGCACGTGGGCAGGGGGCAGCACGTGGGAGCGGGCGGTCCTCTCCCCGTGAGCGGAGTGCACGTGGGCAGGGGCAGCACGTGGGAGCGGGCGGTCCTCTCCCCGTGAGCGGAGTGCACGTGGGCAGGGGGAACACGTGGGAGAGGGCGGTCCTCTCCCCGTGAACGGAGTGTTGTTCGAGGTGGGGACGTGAGCAGGTTGAGAGATTGCTTAGGGGGCCCCTGAAGACAAGGAGACATTGGATAAGCTTGAAAATCTGGCCTTGTAGGCCAGGAGAACGGTCACGTCGTTTACGTAGAGAGGCTCAGTGATGGGAGCCCGCTGCCCACCCTTCCCCTCGAGCCAGCACTGTTTCTCACAATGACCTGGGATACATGTCTGCGGTCGCGGCGGATTGGGGGGTCCCATGCAGTTGCCATAGAGTTTGCTTGGGTAGAAGTGACTTTGTAAATGTTTTCCCTTCTGGAAGATTCGAAAGTTAGAAAGTAGATTGGCCAGTGAGGATTGATTTTTTATGCTGTTTGATTCATTTAGTATTTAATAGGGTTAGCTTGAAAAAAAAAGCCAACTACAATCTTCACAATGATCAGCAGCATCAGACCCTGACTTTGAGAAACTGCTGTAATCCTAGGCTGGGCCACAGGATGTACATACGTACAACTGAATGCTGGACACCGTCTGTCTGGGTCTCGGGAAGTAAGTAGGAGTCACACTGTAGAGTAGGAAGGCGTCTCCGCCGGGAGCGGGGAGTCCCCTGTGCAGAGTGGAAGCTGGATGACAGGCGCGTCGGGAGGAGGAAACTGCGGGGCTGTGAGTGCCGGTCGGGTCCACCCGTCAGTGCACTGGGTGTGCTCTGCTGTCCGTGGAGAGGGGTCCAGTGGTGTGTCCCTCCCAGGAAGCAGAAGGGAACCGGAGCAGCCCTGCAGGAAGGCAGGTCGGGAGGTGCTGCGGCCTCCCACTGCGCTGTCTGGAGCGGTGGCTGCAGGGTCCCTCAGAGGTGGAGGGCCACAGCCCCCGGTGGGAGGCTGCCTAGATACGTGGTCCCCAAGGCACTAATGTGGCCGTGTGCCAGAGGTGACAAAGTTTCACTCCATCCTTGGTGAAAATGCAAAAATAAGAGTACTGTAGTTTAATGAACTTTTCCCAAGTTATAAAATTTTCAGCTCTTGAGATGGTAGTTCCCACAGTTCTGCTGTTAAATGCCCTTTGTCATTGTGATGATCTTTTTTGTGTAGGTGATTTCTGTGTTAATCACCAGATTTCCCCCTTTTTATCACCTTGTGAAACCCTTAAGTCCTAAAACTGAACTAGATGACTTGTAAGATCTGAGACCCCCTGTATCTCTAAAGTTCTGTGATTTCCTGACTGACTGGTCTGCGAGAACAGTCAGCAGCCGTCAGAAGGGCACTCTGGTAGAGATTGGCGTGCGTGGTTCACTCCTGTTCAGATGCTGCTGTCCCGGGACATGCTAAAGGGGCTCAGAACATTTTAAAAATCTCTCAGCAAGTCAGAGTTCTTTTCTACAGTGGAGCGTTTCTGTTCAGAACTCTGTCACCCGCACCCTAATGTAACAGTGTATTTGCTTAGGAAGCTACCCTTCCTGTGGCCGACATTCTATGGTGGAGCCAGTCAGCTCCGAGGCAGCCGGGCTGGACCGTCCACAGACGCACCTCAGCGAGGGTCTGCAGCCCGCTGTCGGCGAGTCTGACTCCCCCGCCAGACCTGCCCTTCGGTGCAGTGGGGGCGCTGCTGCTGTGTGCGGGCGTGGCGATGGTCAAGTCGAGTGCTTCATTCGAAGTAACGTCTTTGTCTTTAACGGTCGCTATTATTACTGCCACTTGCTAGAGCTCTTCATGGATCCAACCATAGGCAATCTCCAGGGCCCGATCTGCGAACTTAGCACATAACTAGAGCAAAGCAAAGGTTACCAAAACCAAAAACAAGTAAAGGTCAAACAGTCTGGGCCCCAGTTTGCCATGTAATTTGGTATAAATTATCTGAATGCATTCATTGGACTTTTTTGCCAGAATTTTTTCATTATTTAATCTACTTTTATATCATTTATGTGGGAAAAGATCATTATTTCTATGATTTATGTCCACTATTAAAGGGTTAAAGAAACACTTTGTAAGATTTTTTACTGTTGCTCATTGTGATATTGAGTAGAAGACCGTCGGATCGTATCACGTGGAAAACACGTAACAGCTGCGCTTTGCTTTGAAAGGAGAGAGGCGGCGCTGCTGAGGGCGGGCTCGGAGGCTGAACTCCAGTCATTAGACATAGTTTACAACATGGTTGAACAAGGGGTCCGATTTCACGGTTGAGCAGGTGGTGGCATTTGAATTGTCGTATGACCCATGCACTGTCCTGAAATTCAGAAGTGGCTGATTGAAAGCAGCCAGAGGTGCCTTATTGTGATCCCAGTGTGCCGTGTCCTGGTGGCAGCGTGCCTGGTGGTCACACTGACATTCAAGCACAAGCTAGTTTACGCACAGAAACGTGCGCGTCCTCAGTGTTTCCCCTCACGTAAGGCAGCCCTCAGACTCCCACAAACCAGAGCTGGCTCCGGGCCCGGCTGTGTGACGGAGCCGCAGCCGCTCCGTCTGAACCTCAGCTTTTCACCCAGAAAATTAGGTTTTCGCACCGTCACTGTGGTCGCCTTGGGGACGTGTGTGAGGGCCGCAGACCACATGCATATTGCTGCTGACGTTGGTTGCTTTGTTGTGTGGTTCATAGTTATTTTACCAAAATACTTCCCAACAATTGTCCAAGTTCTTTCTTTTTGGTTACCTGAAGTAAACCTGAGGGGTTTTTTGTCTAAACCGTATACAGGAGCTGGCAGAAGTAAGGCCTGCTTGAGTGTGGTTGGCAGGGTAATATCATGGGTGTAATAATTTATAGTTTTAATGTGAACATTTCACCTAAAATGTCATAGGGTGTGTTTGTGTGACATTGTTATGTTACAGAGTTACATGCTCATGACTTTGTAATAGAAGATTCTGTAATGAGAATGGGGTGTTACTTGTGCTGGACGCCGTGTGTCACATTCTGAAAGGTGGTACTGAACGCACTGTTTCCCGGAGTCTGATGGACACACAGAGTCTTCCATGTCACCACAGGAAATCCAGGCCACACTCTCTATTCCTGTACATTTCCATCCACACGTGGACTTCAGAGCCACCTTCAAACCCAGAGCCATGAACTGTCTTTGCAGTCCATAGAAAACATAATGTGCACATTTACATAGCCAGGCATGTTAGTTGGGTATTGCTGTTCATTCTCCCTGTTTTGGATTATTTTGTGCATGCCTGTGCTTTTTACACGTGGGTATATTTGTTCAGTTCAGTGTTTGGTTTTCAATGGAACACTCTAAAAAAATCAAGTGGTGTGAGAGATTGAGACTGTTAACCTAAACTACGGCAGGGGGTTCTGTCTCCAGATCTAATGTGAAGCATTACACAGGGGCAGTTTCACTAGCCGAGGCACTTGCGATCTCAAGTTCACCGTACTCTAGGCAATTTAACATTGACTTCCTATTGATTAGTACTTGGAAGTCCATCTGGTGACCTCCATTTAAACGAGTTAGGTGTTTGCAGAGTCCTGCGAGTGTCAGAGTCAGGGACATGAAGTCCCTGCAGCGGAGGACTCTTGTGACCCCTGATTTGCATTTTTGCACAAAGGGCCAAATTACAAACCTGTCAGAACAGCTTGGTGCTGCGGAGGAACGGCTGTTCAGAGTGTCTTGCCTTTACAAACAAAAATATGTTTTTAGGAATAAACAATTAATATGAAATAACTGTGCAAGTGCTAGTTTTTCCCCAAGTGATCCTTGCATATAGATGGTCCAACTTTAAACATATTGCAAATAATACATCAAGGTCTGTTTCCAACACAAGCTCAGCGACCCCCACCACAGCCTGTACTGTGTGTTGCCCCCTTTAAGAAAGAAGCATGGGGCAGGCCTGCAGTGGGGCTAGTGGGGGCTCACACGCAGCCCTCAGCCCAGGAGCACAGTCAAGAGCCAGTCCGGGTCAGCAGACGCTAGGTGGGGACCCCCCACTGGGACCGGGCGGCCCTTCACCCCGCACGTGGCTCCTTCCGAGTCCTGCGCGTCTAGTCTTCCTTTGGCGGTTGGACCTCTGGGAACCTGGCCAGACCTGTCAGTTTTCCATCTGAATGTATACAACTGTCTGTAAAAACCCTTTCGCTATCGGTGTGCTTTTCTTCTCCTTTTTTGCAGGCAGGTAACTTGCAGACTCACTTACGACGGCATTCTGGGGAAAAACCGTACATCTGCGAAGTCTGTGGCAAGAGGTCAGTGCTGGGCCGGTCCTTGGCCCGTGGGGAGCACCCTGCGGCCCGGTCTCTTTGGAAAGCAGTTTGTCCACGAGCCTCCTGGGGGCTGCCTGTGCCACACAGGGACACAGGCCCGGTCCCCCTCTGCAGGCCAGCAGGCGACCCATGAGAGTAACAGGAACAGATGTTAATGTGAAGAAAGAAAATTTAGGACAGGGGACTTAGAAATGGGTTTTACATGAAACAGAATTATTTTGTACTAAAATTTCCACTTTTTCTAACAATGGCTGTGAACATAGATGGATGCCCCACGCAGGTGAGTGTCCAGCATGGAATGTGAGACTTGCAACCTGGGTGCCCAGACCTCGGGACGGGGTGACAGGAAGGGCCCCACGTGGGCCCCTCAGGGCTGGGAGCCAGCAACAGGAAGGACGGAAGGAGGCCAGCCCAAGGACGGTGGGGGGGGGGGTTCGGACTCAGGAGGTGAGCGTGGGCTTGGCGGTAGTTTTGCTCTGGAGATGGAGTGTGGTCTGAGGAGGGTCCCTCCTGTGTGCACAGGCCTGTCCCACCCCCTGGGGTCACTGTCTGAGCCCACGTGCTCCGTTCTAATGGCCCTGCCAGGGCCACAGGCATCAGCCAGCACTGTCCCTCCCAGGCACGTGACCCTGTCGTCACTCACTGAAACATTCGTTCACTGTGTTAGCCACCTGCCACTGTGTGCGGGTGCTGTGGTGGGAGCACCAGTTCTTTGCCTGTGACTCTCCTGCTCAAGAATCTGGGAGGGAGAGACCCGTGGGGACCGAGGCCAAGTACGCTGGCGCAGGATGTCGCACACACTGCGGGAGCATGGGCGTGGGGGCTGCTCAGGTCTCAGGAGAGCAGTCGTCTGGGCGGAAAGCAGGTCAGAGCTGCCCGGCCGCCCACACCTCCCTTTCGGCCAAGCACTGCACGACCCTCCTCTGATGAGTGCGGGGGAAGGAGAGGGCCTAGCTTTCCACACCCAAGGAGTCGCTGCCAGCCAGGTGGTGGCCATCCCCGAGGAAGAAAGATTAATGCAACTAAGAAGATGAAGTGTTAGCAGTGTCTTCTGCTTTCCTTTAAAAAGAAGAAAACAGTCAAGTCTTTTTAATGTGCGTTTTAGGTGAAACCAGGAGGCTCCTGACTGCATTCCGAGGAATGGCCGGGCAGCCGGCCTCCCCGCAGCGGCCCACAGTCAGGAGGACACGCAGCAGTGAGGGACGGCTCTGACCGCATCTCCTCATTGCGTTACAGGTTCGCAGCCTCTGGGGACGTGCAGCGTCACATCGTCATCCACTCGGGGGAGAAGCCGCACCTGTGTGACATCTGCGGCCGAGGTATGGCTGCGTGTGTGCCTTTGTTGTGTGTGAAGATCACTGACCGAGACACCCTCAGCCCCAGCTGACTGCTGTGCCGGCCTCCCCAGGGTTCAGCAACTTCAGCAACCTGAAGGAGCACAAGAAGACGCACACGGCCGAGAAGGTGTTCACCTGCGACGAGTGCGGGAAGTCCTTCAACATGCAGAGGAAGCTGGTGAAGCACCGGGTCCGGCACACCGGGGAGCGGCCGTACAGCTGTGCGGCCTGCGGTGGGTGTCTGCCGGCCGCAGCGCTGGGCTGTGCCGGGGCCTCGGGTCAGCCGTCCCTCCCTCACGGGTACAGTGGCAGCCCTGCTGTTTCTTTAGCGTCTCGTGGTCTTCCTCTCTCGTTCCCGTGTTCATATATCAGACATTCACTGAGTGTCTCAGGTGTCCGGAACTCTGCTAAGATGCTCCAGGTTCCGGGTGACTTAGAGCCCCAGGGCCTCGCTCCTGGTCCGGGCCAGGGGGCGCAGCGCCCGGAGAGCAGGGCAGGGGCAGCCAGCTAGTCCGTCCTCTGCAGCATCAGAGCTCACACCGGGGTTGAGAGGGAGGGCTTCCTGGGATCGAGTGTCAGGAGGCAAAGGTCATTCCCACAGGCATTTGACAGATCAGTGGAGTCATCGAGGTAGGGGAGGGAGAGCTGACGTTGTACGGACCACGAGACCTGTGATGGCAGCATGTTCCGGCCTCTGAAGAACTGGGGGCGTGTGTGTGTTTGCACACCTGTGACAAGAAGTACTTGACACTGATGGGAACAAGTGGGGGGAACACCCCGAGGCCAGCTATGGGAAGCCTGGAATCGGGGGACTGTGCAGAGTGGCTCCTTCCAGTTGTCATTGGGATCTCAAGTAGGGCAGGACCCGGGTGTAACCGGAGGACGACTTTGTTTCTGTCCCTGCTTCAGTTGTGTGCAGGTCTCCTGGGCTCAGTCAGGCAGCTCCATGACTGTCCCCATCACACTTAGAAAGCAGAATTGTGTCACCGTCTGTCACCAGTGCCGTCTCTAATTGCTGCCACACGGTGTCAGTCCCACGTCATTGTTACCACCATCCACCCGATTTCAGGTTACGTCTTCTCTTCGCTCCCCAGCAGGGACCTGTTGCTGGCCGAGGCCCCTGCATCAGGGAGCAAGGCAGGACCTTCTCTTCCCACCCCCCGTCTGTCTCCACCCCTTCCCCACCTTGCTGTCAGCCCTGGGGGTGGGTGACGAGGAGGAAGGGAGCAAGGGCGTTCCTGCGAGGCAGGTCCAGATGGCCAGGCACAGCTGTACTGCAGTGCAAGTCCCGCGCCATAAGTCCGCCCCTGTAAAGTGAGCCATCGGAGGGTCTGCCCGTCACAGAGCTGTACAGCCCTCGCCAGCTTGCAGACCATTCTGTAGCCCAGAGAAACTCCGCACCCTGGCGTCCCTCCCCATCTCATCCCAGCCCTGGCTGACTGTCAGCCTCGTTCTGTCTCTGGGGATTTGCCTCCTCCAGACATTTCATGGAGACGGAATCACACGCTGCTTGGTGTTCTGTAGCTGACTTCCTTCACTTAGCAAATCTACAGTGCACACTCATGTACAAGTTAATGTGTGCGTGTGTTTTCACTTCCTTAAGTTGAGAAGACAGGTTCCATTTTGCCATGGCTTCACATTCTGGGCTTTGCATGTGTATAGCCTCTCCTCCCCTCTCCCTGCCCCCCCTCCCTGGCACCTCACGCCCCTTCCCGCTCTCTCCCTTCCCAGCTTCCGCTACACTTTCCAGGACACAGACGTCTGTTTTCCTCCAGCCTGCGGTATCGCAGCAGTTTCGTTTGAGACCTTCTCTGCTGGGGTCTCTGCGGCCCCTCTGGCCGCTCCATTTACACTGGATATCAAGGGGCTCCGGGTCAGCTCTCTGGCCACCATGTCCCTTGTCCCGGTGGAAACACTCCCGTTCTGTGCTCCAGGGGACCGTAGGCCCCAAAGGCTGCCCTGTGTAGAGAGCCCACCGTACTGACCAGGGCTGGAGGGCCGAGGGTTCAGATCAGTGACGTACAGTAAGGGAGCAGTGAAGTGTGTGTGTGTGTGTGTGTGTGTGTGTGTGTGTGTGTGTGTGTGTGTATGCGCGTGCGCCGTTCTCACTGCTTTGTAAATGCACCGTGACTTCGTGAGGTTATTGACAGGTTTCCCCCTCTGCTCCCCTTACCTCTCTAATCGTGGAAATGCCTCCTGCCTGTCATATCCACAGAGAAAGGACGTAGAGCCAGGAGAAATATGTGTAAAGTTAAGTTCACAGCTGAATATGCAAATGCCTTTAGAAAAGCTGTTTCTATGGTGTAGATCGGCTGTGCTAGATTTACAAAAACGTAAATGAAACTGACCAGATTTCCAGCACCCAGAGCCGCAGGGGCGGGCAGCCCAGCTTACCCAGCAAGGTGCTCCCGTGCACGGGGACAGAGTCCCACGGAGATACCCCCGAACCAAGAGGCCGTGGGTGGTGTGGGGACTTCCAGAGTGAGCAGATGGTGGCAGGCTGGACTCCGCCCTCAGTGCTGGCTCTTCCATGTTCCGGAAGGGGCGGGGGTCCTCTCAACACCCGCTTCTGAAAAGACCCCTCTTCCTTTGTCCAGGGAAGTGTTTTGGGGGGTCCGGGGACCTCCGCAGGCACGTCCGCACTCACACCGGGGAGAAGCCATACACATGTGAGATCTGCGACAAGTGCTTCACCCGCTCGGCAGTGCTGCGGCGGCACCGGCGGATGCACTGTCGGCCCGATGACGAGGGCCCGGACGCTCTGCAGGAGCTCGCCCACGCCTTGGAGACCTCGGACCTGGACAAGGCCCAGCTCTCTGACTCCTTTCCCCAAGACGTGTCTGTGCCTGTGGTGCCCGCATCTGCTAAGCCTCCTGGCCACCCAGTGGAAGAGTCGGTGACAGAGTTGGACGGCCACCCTTCCGGCTCCTACTGTAAGTTCCGGTCCTTGACTCAGCCTCACGGAGTCAGTGACCAGGAGAAGCTCGGTTTGGATCCTGGCAAACTCACCAAGGCCCCGGGGCAGCACGTGCAGCATCAGGCCTTCGCTTACTCGGCCGTGGACGCCTCCACCAGTGATGGGCCACTGCCAGCCGATGGCATGGTCACAATCCGCTCCTCTCTGGCCACTTTGGACAATCACTGCGGCGAGCCTCTGGGTGGCCGGGTGTCAGCCACAGCCTACAGAGACTCGGAAGGCCAGTTCTTCTCCAGCATGACTCTGTGGGGGCTGGCGATGAAGACGCTGCGGAACGAAAATGAGCTGGACCAGTGATGCTGGTGCTGGCGCTTCTCAGCATCAGGGGCTCCTCCTGAGTCCAGCAGGCCCTCCTCCAGGAGAGAGCCTTCTCTATTCAGCCCAGGCACAGCGGGACCATTTCCCTCCTGATGCGGCTGTAGCTGGAAGCCTTGTGAGCTCGGCTTGGGAGGGAAGGCCGCCGGCTCACAGGGAAGCGGACTGTAGCGTGGGAGCAGGCGCCGTGGTAGTGGGCACCACAGGAGCCAGAGGCTGGGGAAGCCACTCTGACCAGCCCGTGGCCAGCCGATGGGGTATAGACAGCACTAGCTACTGTGCAGTGTGGTCATGCTAAAGGGAAAATATATATAATAATACAAATATTTCTCCATTTTTACATGATTGAAATTGGTTGCATTTTGTATTTTTATTTACACAGATTTTATTTGTATATGAAACTCATACTATAATTTAATTTGAATAAATGAAACTTGCCTTCCTATACAGTGTGTTTCCTCCAGCATTTTTATTACTCTCAAGGCCATAGCAGTGGGAAACAAACAAGGGGCTCACCCTTTCAGGAGAGGTGTGGGGTCCGTGTGGCCGCCCTGCGACAGCGGGCCTCTGAAACCACGGAAGGGCTCGGGGCCCGGCTGCCGCCTGCCAGGCAGGCTGTGGGCCGGCTGCTCAGCCCGAGGCTCTTTCCTGGGTCTTCTCTCTCGTCTAGTCCGAGATAAATGTCTTCGCGTTCCTCCAGGTCTTCCATGACTTCATCACCCTCTGCACACCGCCGTCCCGGGGCCCCATCGCCTGGGCCCCCTAGGCGTCCTGCCTCACCTTCCCCACGGACTCGCTGGCCTGTGTGAGCAATACGTTCTGTCCACAGGGCTGTCGCTACAAGATCAAAGTGGGATCGAGCGTGTGAAGATGCGGTTCCCTGAGTGGCAGATGAGATGCTCACCTGCAACTACACAAAGGACCAGCATGTTAGAAGCACCCCTAACTTCCGTCATTATCAGCCCTGACTCAGAATGAGCAAAGCAGGATAACCAGTTAGAAACGTGGGTGGGTGGGGATCTCCGAGGAAAGGCAGCGTGGTGGCAGGGCAGAGTACCAAGGTTCAGTCCCTGCTCTTCCCAGCCGTTCACTGCTCTCAGCCCTGCAAGGCAGGTGCATCGCGGCGCAGGAGCCCAAGGTCACGTGGGCCTAGTGACCTGCACAAAACCACGCAGCTAGTAAGTGAAAGCCGAGGCCCCTGGTCGTGAACTTGATGCAGGACAGTTGCCGTGAACAGCAGTCTCCCTCCTCCCTCCGCCCCTTTTCCGCCGCCCACTGCCCTCTGCTGGCCAGGTGCTGGGTTTGCCGCAGACTCAAAAAGAGCCTGCCCGGGCTCCCGGAATAGACCTGCCTGACAAGGACAGTAGTTCGTCCTTGTAGAATAAAACTTTAGGGAAATAACCTAAACCAAAATTCTTTTAATTTACACTTCCTGTCTCTTCCCTCTCTCCCCTTATGACTCCGCCCCAAAGCCGTAACCTAAGTAAAGAAAAACTTCGAAGGGGTGAGAAGGCTTGGAGGCGGGTGGACGTGGCTCAGGCGGCAAGCGCCCAGCGCCGCAGGGAGGACCTGTCAACGCCTAGGGAGGCGCCGCCCTGCGTACAGCTCGGTGTTTCCTTCCAGACCGTTTCCTCTGCAGCCGGATACACATAAGTTCACCACTTCAACATTTTTCAGTCAGCTCCTACCATACATACTACTTTACCTTTTCACATAGCAAATTGACATAAACATACTCCCTTGTCCAGAAAAAAACGTGTGTTGACATCGACGCTGCCTGCATGCCCATCACTCCCTTCGCCTGGAGGGTGTTTGTGAAGGGCCCAGCACTGTTCTAGGCAGGTTGCCGAGCTCCACAAAAATGCGCTCTTTTCCTTGACCTTGCAAGGAAGCTTATGGACCCTCGGGCTGTTTTGTGTCGGGTTTCCTTCCAGCCGCCAGATGGCGGTATAGTCCCTCACAGTAAATTACAAGGCGCATTCGTGCACCTGCGCCCCCCTAAAGTTCCCCGGGAAGCCTGTTGCTTTCCCTAGTCTGGAGGGATATATCCTAAGGAGGGAAGTCACTGTTGGTTTATTTTTCATCCGTGTTGAGTGCTGACAATATCCCAGCCTCCAGCTTTCGCGCAGGAGGTGTCCCGGTGGTAGAGGGGGCAGGGGCACAGCCCAGGCCCCTGGCCTCACAGCATTAAGAGGAGACTATTCAGCTTCATGAACTGGACACCGTTCGTGTGGTTCTCCGCATCTCCTCTGTATAAAGGGGCTTAGAAAATAGCTCAAAGTCATGGCGATCCTTGAAAACATGATGCTAAGTGAAAGAGGCCAGACACAAAAGGTCACCTGTTGATTACATTTATAGGAAGTGCCCACAGCAGGCAAATCCATAGTGAGACAAAGCAGATTAGTGGTTGCCAGGGTCTGGGAGCAGAGAGGGGTGGGGGGATGGGCAGTGACTGCTAATGGGTTTGGGGATTCCACCCAGAGGAAGGATGTACCTGCTAAGGCCTGAATTCATGAGTCCAGCCGCTGTCGTGCACGTGGTCGAAGGGGGCGGGGCTTCCAGCACACTGCAGGTCAGGACAGGCGCAGACTGGGCTGCCAGGCCTCCCGTACCCGTTCGTGCTGTCCCTGCCCGACCCTCATAAAAGAGTTTCTGGCATCATATTTCCACCTATGAGCGGATACCTGCCCTGTCCAATCAGAGCAGCTCACTCAGAGTGGCTCCAAACCCACAAATCAGAACAGGCTTTGGGGGCTAAACTGAATTTGGAGCCTTCATTTGCATATAAATAGACCAATCAGGGACCAGGGGTGGGAACTTCTCTTTATATAAGCCCACCTCCTCTCTGTCTTGGCCTGCAAACAGCCATCCTCTCCCTGTGTCCCCACAGGGTTGTCCCTCTGTGCATGCCTGTGTCCTCATTTCTTCTTATAAGGACACCAGTGACCTCATTTTACCTTACTCATCTCTTTAAAGACTCCATCTCCAAACACAGTCACATTCTGAGGTCCTGGGGGTGAGGGCTTCAACAGAGGAATTTGAGGGACATAAGTCAGCCTATAACTGGGAGCAAGACACAGGAGGGCTGGAATGCACGGCATGGAGGTGTGGCCGGGAATCCTGCTTGGTGACCTGGAGGCAGCTGCCCTAGGACCCTCAGGACCCCAGGACCCACACTAGTCGTGTGAAGAGCAACCCAGTTAATGCCTCTGCCTATGATCCCCAAACCTGAGAGAGGCCAGTGACAGGCAAGTCCCGCTGCTAAAGGCCCTTTCACTTTTGGTCTCCCAAATTCCCTGGTGATTTTATGAGGCCCTCGGCTGTAGACGGGCCCTTCAGCTGTAAGAAAGAAGATAGGAAATGGGCCACCTGCTCTGAGGACAGATGCTTCATCCTGCTGGCTGACATGTTGCTGCTGGCTTGGCCTCGGGGTTTTCCAAACAAGTGTGGCCGTGGGACTTGAATCTGTGACCCATTTGGGGGCATCTCAGTCTGCAAAGCAGAAGAAACTACTGAGCTGGTCTAGTTCAAGGAGGTGGCGGCCAGCGCTGTATGCGAGACTCCTCCTCCATCACACCAGCCCCCAGCAGCCAGGGACCCTGAGGGGGCTCCACGAGCCCCCCAGGACTCCAAGAACAGGGTGTAAACCACCAGTGTCAGTGACAGAAGTGACCACTGGTGGTGTCGCTGAGTGCCATTAACACAGGACAATTCCACCACGTTGCATTTCCCGAGACCGGCTCCCCTGCACGACAGATGTGGAAATACAAGCATGTTTTTGTCTTTCTCAAATGTACAGGGGACTGAGACAGACAACAGGCGGTGGGTAGATGGGCCAGGGGCATGGTCATTACCTAAAAATGCACACGGGCCACTATGGGTCGTGAGGGACTGCGTGTCTGTGCCCCACCCCTGCCCAGATTCACAGGGAGAAGCCCTGATGCCCCAGGGTGGCTGTATTCCGAGTTGGGGTAGCTGATGAGGTGAGTCAGGCTAGATGAGGTCATAAGGGAGGGGCCTCGATCCCATTGGCTTAGTGTCCTTATAGGAAGAGACCCCAGAGGGCTTGTTCTCTCTCTCTCTCCAAGGGCCCACATGGAGGAAAGACCACCGTGAGGACATGGGGCCATGTCCCACGAAACTCCATGGTGAAGCGCTAACCCCCAGGACCTCAGCATGCAGTCTCATGTGGAGACAGGGACATCGGATACACTTAGTTAGGTCAGGTGAGGCCATCTGGGAGCGGGGTTCAGGGGGACAATCAGTCCGGCTAATCTTCTCTGAGCAGAGGGGGACTTCGGAGGGTCTGTGTGCGGCCTTGTCACAGGCAAACCAGGGATGCCTGCGAGCCGTGTCTCAGCCCCATGGTGGGCTGGCACTTTGCCATAGCCATTTTCCAGAACACATAAGCATGCGAGGATGTCTAAATCCTGCCATTTTCCAGATGCACAGGCTCGGGTAGAATTCAACATTGTGGATTTGAATAGGATGGGTTGATAAGTGCTAGGGACTGTTTGCCTTCTTCCAGGCACAGAGAGGCCCTCAGTGCCCGATCACTGAATGCATGAATGCCTGAGCGAATGAACAAAAGAACGAGTGGGCAAACGACTTGGTAGCAGGAGCACCCTCTGAGTGCTGGAGCGGTCGGAGAAGGCACCCGGATCAAGTGGTACCTGAAGTCCTGTGACGTGCGCACAGGAGGACACTCGTCTTCCCCACCACAATACCACCACAGTCACATAGACAGGAAGGCAGGAGGGCCTGCATCTGTTACATGCATATCATACGTGAGGCCCCATGCAGCTCTGTTGGAAATTTTTTATTTTAATTTCGGGGGTGTGTGGCTATTACAACAGAAGAAAAAAAATAATGGATGTTGAGGCAGAGTCCCTGCTACGCTTAACCTGGGTGAGCCTGCCAGTTAGGAATTGCTGAGTTTCAAAGACAGAAGAAATCCTGCCCCAATGGGGTTCATGGAGACAAGAGTTTGATTTTCTCAGAGAACAAAAGTGTATAGTTGTTGGTACAGTGCAGCCATGGCAAAGATGACCACATTTTGAGGGTTGGTGTCCATCCTCAGACTTGGAGCCTCATGGACAGAAGGCTACTGTAGCTCCAAACATCATTTTTTCATTTATGGCAGCAAGAAGGATGAAGAATTCGATAGCCTGTATGTCCCTCTTCAATAGGAAAACAAAAGCTTCTCTATAGACACTCCCAAAAGATTTGCTTATAGCACTCCTTGGTCAGGAGTGGGTTATGGCCTCTCTAGCTGCAAGCGAGTCTGGAAACCAAGTATTTACCTTTCCATCCCCTCTATTTGATAGGAGATCAAAAGTATATATACCCTTTGACGACTAATTCCACCTCTAGGAACTCCTATACCAGCTGTTACTGCCAAAGTTGTACACAGAGACCTATGCATATCCAGAGCTGCTTATTACACTGTCATTTA